TGCCTGCTAGCAACTCTTGATATTGTTAAACGTAGATGGTAACTAAGGGATTTATCATTCACAAGTAGTTTTTCAAACACAAACAAATGTTTGAACATACACGATAGTGATCTTTGATAGCTATGTTTTCATATGTGCACTCACAGTGTAAGAAGAAAGAGGTGGAACTAAAAGACAGTCATTCTTACTGTGATTTTTATACAAATGAGAGTGATAGGAAATGGGATGAACTATTTGACCCATTTAGATCCCGGACTTCTTTCTAGGTTCTCATTTGCAACATGCAACTGTACAGAAATGTCTCTCCTTAGTTGCACGCTGTGCCTTTGTGCTGTTTTCAGACTGCCTCCTGTGCATTCCAATCCCAGGTGTTGTGGCACTTGAAAAGGATAGCTTCCTTCCCAGTAGGAGAGCACACCCTTCAGTTCCCTGTCTCTTTGTATTATCAGTGGAGTGCTTCTAGGGGGCGGTTCCAAAGGCTCATTGTACAACACTGTCCCTCTATTGACTGTGTAAGGACCTGCACAGGGGGCATGCAGAGCCAAGTAATTGGAAATATTAGGCGTAGGAATATGAGACACGGTCTACTTGGGGCTTCTGTGTGGACATTTGGGTCCTTTCAACTCTCAGAACATTGAGGCATCCTCTGAGCATAGATGGGAAATGAAGAAAGAGGCGATGTGCTTTTGCACAGCAGTCCAATGGTTTGGGTGCTTGTCCATGTGGGAGACGTGTTATCAGGTCTCCTCAGCTGTTGTCTCATCTGAACTTGCTGCTTAAGAGATGCCTCACTCTTGATGGTAAGAGCATGGTGTTGGTGGCTTTGACTGTCCTCATGCCCACAGTCAGTTCTGGGCAGTGACCAAATTAGAAATACAAGAATTGAGAGCTAGCAGGACCCTGTCCCCATAGCCTAGTGTCTGGGCTATTTTGACAGTCAAGGAGGTTTTCAAGGTATGGCTTTGCACCAAGGGCTATCCATCCGTTTTGTCCGTGATTGTCTGTGGAAAAGGCCTACACAGTATGAGAGAGAGAAATAATGAACAAGTGCCAAACATAGGACTCCCTACTTCTCTGTAGTTAATTAGCTGAGTGGACTTCTCTGTGTTTGATGCCAGCCAGGGTTTAACAGAGGGGAGAAAGGACAGTACATGTCTTCAGAATACCTTAGTCTGTGATAAACTAGCAATAATAGGTGTTTAGAAATCTCCCCTTCACTACTGCTACTTCTGGAAGATAAGAAAAGAGTTTGTATTAATGTAATTAAACATATGTCATGCCTTACAGTTTATTGCAATACAAAGGGAAACTATTTTTAAATTAACTTTCAGAAATAATCCCAGTATTGTTGTTACCACATCCTTGACATGGCCATGCACAGAGACATCTATGGCATAGGTTCTTCATGCTAAACACAGTGATTTGAGGTTTGAATTTTTTTTTTTCTTAACGTTCATGGGACTGTCTTATGGAAAATGAGGTAGCCCTATGTATTTATTCCAATAACTTTCAAAACTAAAATGGCATTTTTTGTGCTTTTATACTCAGCTTTTGATTCTTGGGCACTAACATGAAGATGCATTATTTTATCCATGATCAGTGAGAAAACCATTAAGATAAATGGTGTTTTCTGTGTAGTGAAGGATTTCTTTAGCTATGCTGAATAGTGACACAGTATACGCTTTTTTTAAGGTAATTGGTAAACCAACTAAGAGTATCAAGAATTATATCCAAGTCCTTAAGTATTTATAGACATATATGGCAAGCTACCAGGTCAGAGGTTTTCTAAAGGTCTGCAAATATTTCCACAAGGTGCCCAATCTTTTCAGTCTTGGAAGTACATTGTGTATTAGTGCTGTTATGATGGAGTGTTTTAATCAGAAGTCTCCAAAGGCCTCTCTTTCGATGTGTGTGATTACCTACTATTTAGAATTCTTCCAAAACTGTGGATGTGCTTTGTAGATAAATACGGGCAAATCCTGTAACCTACATGCATACATTCTATGACTCAGAGAACAGATTTTTTCTGATTTAATAATTGAACCAACATGCTTTTCATCCTTTGAGGTGCGTCTGTGCAGTGCAGTCATAGGATGGATGGTGGGAATACCCACTCATCTCTAATTAGTAGAGACCCTTCAAAACAAATAAAGGAGAAAGTATCCTATTTTATGCACTACTTTATGCATCAATGAGTAAATCAGAGTGAATGCCATGAGCCAATTTAAAATATGACTTCAGTTGAACAAAAACATCTCAGTAAGTTCAGAAAAATCTCAGGCTGATTTAATAAAATCACATAAAAATTGATGAATGTAATATTTAACTTCATTTGTGTTTCTTCATTTCTCATGTTTCTATGGAAAGAGGATCTTTCCCTCCCAACCTCCCAGGCAATATTGCTTAGAGTTTACTCAGTGGGATGTGTCACTGATAAAGCATAAATCAGCAGCTGCTAACACAAGAAGGAAATGCTACAGCCAGGCTAGTAATCCCTCAATAGCAACAGCGACGCCAAATACTATCTTGGTTTGTGGTATTTGAGATCCATGGTAAGATAAAGACAATAAATCGCTTTGGGACGTGGGAGAGGACACTGGCTTTTTTCAAAGATCGGCTAGGCTAAAACCTCTCTGCCAACAAATCATCAATAATTAATTTGTCCAGTCCACGACCTATCACATAGGTGTTGTTTCTCTTAGCTAAAAAAATGCAGCACTCCCTCCTGCAAAGTAAGTGCTGAGGGAGAGGGAGGAGGGTAGAAGCAAATGTGCCCTGATTTAAGTCTGTTTATTGATACCATGATGATCATGGGAGAAGAAAGTGTTCCTGCAGCCACGTATGTAAAAGTTATGTTATTGGCAGGTGCATTTCTTTTCCTCTTTGTGTCGGTGAAGATAAGTTTGTGATTAGCCATGTATTATATTGCAAATGATTGGTAGAAAATTACGCCTACAATTTTGAGTGAAATCAGACTGGATGATGCTGCTGATGAGATACTTGTGCAGTGAGGTCAGATGTTAAGGCTACTGTGAATCAGAGAAACGTATACAAGACCATCACTGGCATGGATTGCTGGAAGCTCCCCATACTTCAAATGGGTCAAATATAGGAGAGATCTGAATGCAGCAAACTTGTCTTGTCTTGGGGAAGAGGGGGTATTTTGTATTTGTCAGTACTGTCATTATTTTGCTCTAGCTAGGGTTGAAATGGAGAAGAAAGGTTGATGGATTTGAGGATGCAAAAATATAATGGTATATGTTAAAAGTGGTATCTGAGTGTTTAACAAGAAACTGAATGGTATCACTTGCAAAGCTGCTTAACTGAAGTGCTGTTCATTGCTTACGCCTCTACATTCATCCTACTGTTTATATGTCTCTTCCAGCAGCTACAGTATTTTTCCTTGGTCCCTAGAATTCTCTTCTGGGGCAAATCCTAGCCTCCCACCTCCGAGGCCATCTGCAGATTTCCCTAGGCTGCTATTATATGAACAATCAGCTGTCTCACTTAAGAAATTCTCTTTGTTCTACATCATTAAATGCAGACTCCTGCTGCTGCTATGACAGATCACTTTACAGGAATCTACAAGGGGAGCTGTCTCTGATGCTAACAGTGGGTCTTCGCTGTGGAACAAAAGAATATGCTGCGGCAAGCATGAAGTGGTTTGAATTTATAATATTTTAACATTGGGAAACAAAAAAAGGCTGAAGCTGGCATATGTGTACCCATTTTGAGATCTGTATTTCCAAAAAGTGAAGAAGAGTCTTTGAAATAGAGTTGAGTAATATTGTGCCCAGGAATATAATTTGTAGCTCTCATCAAGGCAGTGATGAGACAGTCATTTGGCGAGGGGAAGGGGAAGATACAATGGACTGGGAGGGAATTCAAAATAAGACCAACTTCTTACAGGCAGGCTGTAGAAGAAAGGAAAATGCTTCCATCAAAAGCATGAGTGACAGTCTCTGGTGAAGGCTCAGTAATGGACTAAATGACCTGAAGGTTTCTTCTTCCACCACGACCTTTTTGTTGTGACATCCTTTCCCAGATATCTCCCTGACACTGCAGCTCTCTGCTGACTCTGTGTATTAGTTACTCAAGAGCATCACGTCTAAAAGATGCCTTTGTGAAAGGTTGTCCTGCCTCTTTTTAAAAACCAGCCATATGCCCAGTAGCTCCCTCTTTTTCTCTGGCTGTATCCAAGTACCCTGCAGCAGCAGCTTAAACCTGTTTGCCAAGTGCCTTTTCCTGTCTATTCTTAATGTGCAGCTATCTTTCTCTGTATGGAAAGGGAGTGTTTTCAAAACCTCTTTGCTGTCTTTGCTCGTGTTGAAAGAACACATAAATGGGCCTATTTATATGTGCAAACAGATTTGAAACTGTGACCCACTAGCTTAAGCTTTTGTTCTGCAGTGCTTTTAAACAGCAACGACTACATACTAGCATGACCCCCTTCAAAACGGACTGCAGTACTGGAGTGCTTCTTAGACCATGGCATGCCATCAGCTTGGCATGTGAGAACTTATGGTGTCCTGTGGCTGAAACATGCTGTCCATGTTCTTTTTGTCCTAATGGTTGTTTTCTGTCTTGAGACTTAATTCATTCTTTGTATATTAGTGTGTTTTATTTTAGCCTGGTTGTTCCTGTAGTGCTGTGTCATTTGTAACAACACCTCTTGTCTGTTTTCACATTTTGGAGTTAGTTTCGTAGATGGTATGGTGAGGGGGTGCTCATGGCATGGTGACATGTTCACCTAAACAAGGGACTTGCCAGTGGTGAACCTCTATCATTGCTGGTAGCAGAGAATATTGCTTTATTCTATTTACCTTTATATCCGTCTGTGTCCTATCTAAAGCTGCTTGTTTTGAAGAAAAATTGGTTCTGCTAGGGGGAAAAAAATTAAGTGGCATTATTCAGTGTGTATGCCCCCTCACTTGAAAGCCCCTTGACTGGATTTTCTACTGCACTGTCACAAACCCCATCAATCTCTTCAATTTCTTCAGAAGGAAGAGAGGATTTGCAGGTTAACCGGCTGGAAACACAAATATGGATAAAACCAGACATACAGAAGACAGATGTGGACTTTTCAGAAATTCTTAATGCAATACAAGAAAGTAAGTTATTCCTTGGATGCAAAACTTGCTTTATGATAGAAGAATCAATTGAGATGCATTGAATTAATAACTGAAGGAACATACAAAGTGATGAACTGAATCATAAGTGAGTATGTATTACTAAAATCTCTGAGAAAGTTCAATGGGTTATCGAAGGCCAGTAAGAAATCTTTTACTATCAGAGAAATCATAATAAGATTTGAATTATTATGTGCATAAGGATTCCAGGAGTATATATTTGCTATGCAGAAGTAATCAGAAATATTAAAATTCCTGTTACTTTAATCCATTCTTTACACCCTTGAATGGCTGTGTGACCTAGTAATGTCATGCAAATGCTGCAGTCTGGGATCTAAGACTGGATTTGAGGTTTCAGCTGTTCCAAAGTGTTGGGGTATATTCACATTTTTGTAGCAGGTAGTTTTTGGGAGTGGAAGTGATGAGCTTGTCACAACAACTGAAGGTCTGCACATCTTATATACTGCGTGAAACCATCTCTTTTTGCGTGCAGTGTGGAGTGGACTAAGAACTGGTTGGTTCACCCTTCTTAAATCTAACTGCAGAATGATCTCAAGACTTGTGCTAGAAGAAATACTGCTCTTGTTAACAACAGTGGAAGACACCCTCCTATCCGAAAATGACACAGCTCTAGAATCCCAATTTGTAATTTCAGTGGGAATTTTCCATAACAGATTGAAAACTCTTATACAGGCCAAGAATCAAAGCACATGGCACGGCTTCCTGGTTTCCCTCTTTTCCAGTTTTATTTTAAACCGGGTGTTTTGTGTAGCAATTTTCTCAAGTGAGAAACAGGGACTTATATTCTTGAATGATAAAAGATGTACAAGAATGTGTAAAATCCTGCACTCTGCCTGATTTTATACATGAACAAGGTACCATACAGCGGTAGGATCAAGTCTGGTGGTGGTATTAGTTTCGGGGTGGAAGAAAAACTCTCAAGTTAGTATGATGACAGGGGTAATAATTTGAAATTGAATCACCTTATTATTTAAACTGTAGGTTTAGGATGAACCCTGTGTTTTGTAACTTAAAAAGCATTTCCCATCAGGACATCTTAATATGAGATTTTGTTTTCTCCCCTTTTCTCTGCACCCACACAGCCCGGATATAGGCCAGGGGGGCAGTTAGGATTTGGACTGGAGACGCTAAAAAGGCACTATAGTATTTCAGAGGCTGAACACACAAGATAGATAAACAACAATAAGTGAATTCAAGTTGGGAAGAGACCATATTGCAATACAAAACCCAGTTATCTTCTCCATTTCAAGCACATGGCTGAGGAGAATAAAAATGAATGATCTGTTTAAAATGCTTAGATGTCAATATTACTGTTATTAACAGTGTTTGTCCAAAGCAGCTTCTTTTTAAAATGACCATTTGTACTGTGTCATATTTCAATATCATACTCTCTGATTATATCCATGTGACAAATAACTTCAAATTTTCATTCAACAGGGCACGAGTTTGCTTATAACCTCAAATGTTAAACTTCTAGACAAAAAATAATGTTTCTTTTAAAAATATGCTGGTTTTCTGTGGCCATAAAGAAGGCATTCATAGAACATAGGGGTTTGCAATGAAGGTATCAATATCTGAATTCATTGTCTACACTCTCTTTGCAATCAACAGAATGTAACTAGCACATCTACAGCCCAGTTTGTCTCGTTTTAAAGTAGGCATCTAACAGATTAGATGACCTGCAACTTGGAAGTGGCTATGTGCCTCTGTTGCCTGCAGATGCAATTTAGGGAGATAAGCTAACCTGAATCACTCCCACAGTTTAGATACAAACATCTGCACTGTGGATCTGTAAATGCAGGTCAACCCTACCTGAAGGAAAACAAATATTTGCAAGCGATTAATGGATATAAATTGAATAGAAGTAGGTTCCCAAACTGTTTTAGCAATTTGAATATAATTCCAAAACTAAATAGCATTAAACAAAGAGTCTTTTAAGAATTAACAGTTTGATTTGTAGATTATTTTTGAGCCATTTGAGAAGGATGCAGCTTTTACAGCCTTGGAGGCAGTGTTTTTTCTTTATCCAGACCAGAAACAGTTGCTGTTGGGAAGTTAATCTCTATGTCCTTCAGCTACATTTTCTTCTGGAAAGCAAAAGGATTGCTATGGCTGTGCAAGCCAGTTTGTAAAGGCTTGTCATGTGTGCAGGGGAGTGTCTTGACACCTGCAGTCTGTTGTGAATATCAAATAATTAGTATAAACATGCCCAAATATTCTTTCTAGGATGGTTGCTCTGAATATTCTTTGTTACTTTCATTCCCAGCTGTTGTTAGCATTCAATGAAAATTTTAAAAGGCTAACGATGCTTTTAAAGACTACTTTTTTTTTTTTTTTTTCCTTGCTAACATGAGTTCCTGAGCATTTCTTTATTCAGGAGTTGCCTTGTGCAACTTTAGCTATCTTTAGTATATATTTCTGTTTGGTAGACTGCCAAGAGCAATCATTCCATAGCAAAGTTTTTATTTTTTTAAAAAAAAGTTAGTTACTTAAAACAAACAATTTGCTCTAAAGCTACTTTTTTTTTTCTTCTACCCTACTGTACCTCTTAGTCTGCAACTGAAGATAAAGATTTACCATCTCTTATGTGAATGTACTACTATTATAAAAGACTTAAAAGTAGTTTCTACTGCATCAGAATTAAATTCTGCATTTAAGTACCATAGATCATGGTAGAGTCTTAAACATGTTTTTCTAAAGATTTCTGGTAAGTTCTATGTAAAACAGTTTCCTCCTGACCACATGATATTCAGAAATTTTTTGTAGTCTATCAGAGACACTCCAGAAACAATAATTACTGATCTGAAATTGCTGCAGATACACACTGTGAAACAGGGGACCGCACTGGGTGTAAAATGGCAAAACAGGCCGATGCATCTGACCTAAACCGAACTTGTAAACTAGACAGCAGAGATGTCAAGGTTCTGCATGAACTGCCTGTCAGATATGAACCAGGATTCCATATTTTTGCCTACTGACAGCCTGTTCCCGTGCCACAGCCGTGGCCAGGAGCAGGGCAGCCAGGGGCACTGGGAGCAGCCCCAGCCCTGGTCATCAGGTATCTCCCTGGTGCAGCGGGGCTGTGGGGAGCTGGAGACCAGCTCTGCTGTGGCATCGCTGGTGTAGGGTCTGGCAGACCTGGGGGCGCTGAAATGGGGTGCTGGGGCCTGGGCAGAGTAGGGGAAACCCCCGGGGGTCCAGGCATGGATGGTCAGGACTGGGGGTGCCCTCAGGACCATGGCAAAAGTTAGCAAAGGCTTTCATGGCTTTTTCCTAGTTATTGCAGTAAGAAGACGAAGTTCTCGGGGAAAAGCAGTAAATAGCTTTATTTCTTTTTTTAAAAAGCTCAGATTTCAAGTTTTTTCATTAATTCCTATAATTTACTTCAATGTATGAAACTTATTTTCATTGCCATGGCAGCAAGTAAAAATGCTAAGAAATCTCTGGCTTTTTAGAATAGCTTTCAAAATCCACTTTACGTCGACCCTCGCTAGATTTGGTAAAAAATAATTTGATGCTCTCATTTTAATTCTCGTAATCTGGAAGCCAGAAGTCAGTGAGTTTCCCAAGACAGGCTTGCTGATCCACTGTGTAGTTACTGAATTTAGCATCTAATGTAATAAAAAGTTCTGGTCTGTGTGGTATCTGTAGGATGGCCTCCTTGAAGCAAAGATTTGTAAATTGTATCTGCCAGCCTTACTGAGTGCAGAAAAACATTTGTATCCAAAAATCCAAAGAGATGCTGTAAAAATATAACATGTAGTATGACAAGATGCAGAAATGTTCTTGGTTTTCCATACTTGAGCTTTTCTGCTTTGCAAGTCTCTGTTAAACAGGTATTTTCTACTCAGTATTTTTATTAAAGGGTGTTCTCCAATATTGGTGCTTTTAAACCAAATAATTTTTTTCACCACCATTAATGTGCAGAAATGCTCTATACTTGTTATAAACATAGCCAGTAAGAAGTTTTAAGGAAATTCATTTTTCAATGTTACTGATAGGCCTAAAAACTTCCAAAGAGAAGTTTCTGAATATTGATCTTCAGCTTGCATTATCCAAATCTAGAGTATACTTGATGGCTTGGTGTGACTATTGGTAAAAATCCAATAATTAACAGAAACATGATCTCTGAGCATACTTCCATCTTGCCACACAAAAACATAGTCAGGTCCCATTTTTCAATGAAAATTCTTATTTTTAGGTGCCTCAGATTTTGAGCATCCATCTTCAGAAAGTTAAAGGAGTTATCTTATCTTTGAGCCCTACATAAATCAGCTTCTTGGTCCAAAATGTCTTGTGGACACACTAGGATTGTGCATGAACTCCTGCTCAGAATTTCCCAGCATCCAGTTTTCAGAATATGTGGTTCTACTATAATTGGGATAAAAATATTTGTATATCTACATTTTTTTCAGATCCTCAAGGATTCTGAATTATCAAGTAATTTTGATTTTTTTCCACAAAATGGAACATGAGGGGGAGAAAAGAGCTTGCATATTTAATCTGATCTAAAACCAGAGGGGGAATTCTTAATATCTCCTGTAGCAATGTGCGTGCTGCTCTGCATTCTTGTTAAAATTCACTGCTTAAAAAGACATGACTATACACTAGCACAAGACCATCTCTCAAGTAGCATATATACGACAAAAAATTTATGTATCACTCTGTTAAGGTAATTTGTAGTATGTACATGTCATGATCTGAAGGGGACAGAAAAGATGGAGCCCTGAATATGCCTTTAGCAACATTTGGCCTTGTAGGTGTTTATGTCCGTTGGAGTGGAGTGTCTGAGCTAGCTACAGGCAGCAGGAGAGTTGGCTTTGCAGTACCATCACTATTATGAAAGTAAAGCAAACAGAGTTTGCTTTTTAAATTACTTATTTAGTTTTATGGAACAGTATTTTATGATTAATTTTTTTAAGTATCTAATGGGACTTGCAGTAGAAAAATGCTCTCAACAAATACTAAGACCCCATGTTTAGTGTCAGTGACTGAAATGCTAAGAGTGTATTTTCAAAAACATACACAGCAAGGCAACCACAGTGTAAAGAGATCCTCTTTCTCACCAGCAGCACACCTTTACTACAACTGGAAAAAGGTAACAGACACCTTTAGCGCTGCTGAGGTAGTTCAACACATCTCTTCACTACTTAACCTATTTGCTGAAGATACAACCAGCATGTCAATTATCTGTGTACTTCTGATATAAGTAATTTTCTTCTACAGGCTAATTTCACTACCCAGCTGAGATTCACTGCTTCCAAAATTTCCAGTCACTGCTGAGATGGGCTGGATTTTAAAGCGACCTTGAAATAAGATTGGTTTTGCTTCTCGCAAGTCCTCAGAATAGTCCAGTAATTCTCTGCTTGAAATCCCCAAACACATTCACTGTCTTACACGCCAAGTTGTGTGTCTCAAAACACCCACTTAAAACTCACGTATTTTGCAACCCAAAGCATTAGTGGCACTTGAGGAAGCAGCAATTCTAGTATCTCAAAGGCCTCCTCTTTTATACCAATGCAGTCTTAACGGGAGGGAAAAGCTAGTTCAAATTCCCTCGAGCATAACATACAGGCAAAACTTTCATTTTTACATCTTTCATTTCCTCTGTCTGCAACAGATATATATCTTGCATAATCTTCAGGAAACTCAAATTTTTAATTATTTTTGTATTTTCTACAGTTGTTTTCAGACTATACTGAGATGTTGATCATATACAGGTTCATGTGTGGCTTTCCTGGAGGCACTCTGCTGAGTTTCAGTTCAGTGAAGCTTCAAGTCATTCAAAATGTTTTCTGTTTCAGTAGTTCTTTCTGTTGAGTATTCACATGAATTCTTCTCATATGACCGTGTATGCAAAAGCTGGTCATGATCTACACCCAGATTGTTATCTGATGGGATGGAATGTTTCCAGTCACCCTTTGAAACAATAGGGACAATGAAGGACAGGTAGTTAGACTATGCTGTCTTGCAGTAATTTTCCTGTCTTCTACAAGCATTTCTAGTATGATTTCTATGGATTGAAATGGAGCAAGGTGAAAAATAATTCTTTAATATTACTGCTGCATGTGATACAAATTGGAGTCTGTTTTTTTGCCTTCTAAGTCTCCTGAAACCTCTGTAGTTTGTCCTAGGACAGGCTGGATGCAGCCACAGTGACACTGAGGAGCTGCAGGCTCTTCTTGTCACAGAAACCAAAACAAAACCAGGATGCTCTTCAGCCCTGTCAGTAAGCTCACCCCTAGATGGGGACAGGATGGTGTAAGGCCAAGGCTGAAAAACTCCGTCCTGGATATTTGTCTCTAATGGTATCTTGGCAATTTTCACAAAAGTAGGATAAGTAAAATAAGTGGACTGATAGTAAAAGTAGCCTTAAAACGTCAAGAGAAACTTAATATCTGAAAAAAAAAAAAAGTTTTATATCTCCGATGTGTTCACAGACTATGATGATACACACAGTATACAAGAGAGTGAAGCAGCTGAAGCTATTACTCCCACTATCTCTATAAAAGCTGTTGGGATCCTGCAGAACAGAGGGTGCTATCTAAAACTGATTAATTATGATATGAAGTGTTAAGTAAGGATTAAATATTGTGCAATACTGATATTGGGATACAAAGAATGATAGCTAGATTAGACAGTATGCAACCCCAAATTTGCTAAGCTCAAGGAGTAGTATGTTCTCCTAAAAACTTTTAATTTGGCACAAAATTTCTTATTGTTATGCTGTCTACATAAAAAAAAGAATACTGTAAAAAGTAATAAAAACTCAGAATCTCTATCAAAAATTGTGCTGCTTAGGTTAGTTCATTAGCCTAGTACCTAGAAGTGCATTAATTTGGATGTGAAGGCTCTTTTGTTGTTTATAAAATTTTTAGTGGTTTTGTAAGCAAATGAATTGCAATTGAAAATACAATACATGTCATTAACTTTGTCTTTATTTTATGCAAGAAAATGAAGAAGGGTTCTTGAATATTTTAATTGGGTTTTCTTTCTTTATCTACCTACAGCTGTAATAACAGACTTCAGATACTGTAAAAGACGTGCAAAAAGGGAGAAATCTCTTCCCCATGTTCATGATTGATAGGAAAAGAATAATATATTTAAATTGCAACATAGGCGTATATTCAGGGCGAATATTATGAAGAAAACATGCTCTTGCTTGTGATAATGCAAAATAGGCCACCTGCAGAGACTGTGGAGTCAGTAGCATTGGAGATATTTTAAAAAGGTTTCTTAAACTGGGCTATAGCCCCTGAAGAAGGCAAAGGTGAAAAGGAGGTCACAAAATGCTCGTGATGGCTGGAAACACTTAATAGCCTTTAATTTCTGGCAGCTATTCAGTCTCTCCAGAGTGGGGAAATGGATTTTTACATCTGCAGCCAGTAGTTAGAAATGAAACTAAATTGCCACCAGCAATTAGAGAATTTCGGCTGTTCCCTGTTAATACAAATTCTCATCAACAGGAATTACAACTGCCTGTCACTAAGTTAAGGGAGTTGCAGAGAAGCAAAAGAATTAGGAGGTTATTGCACAAAAGAAGGATTATTCCAAGTCAGTCAAGCTTGCAGAAAAGTGTGTTAGACAAATTTCTGTCAAGAGTAATAAATATTTGATCCTGCTTTAGTCAGGGGAAGAGGCTCAGTAGCTGACCTTTGGGGATCCCTTCTAACAGTTACAACTCTACTGTTGTAATTCTGGATTTTGCCTATGAAATATGAGGTTGGAGAGATGAAGCTTGTTGAAGCTTGTTGAAGCTTGACCCTCAGCCAAGGCATTTTTCTGCTCCTCATGCACATCTCTTCATCATCCTTTCATACTAGACCTGCAGTGTATGGGGTGCAAAGGTGGACCTCACTGGCTGCAGCCTGCCTGCCCTACGTCTCCCATCCAACAGCCACTTGGTCAGTGGGTCAATGGCCCCTTATGTGGGACTGTAGACTTGCACAGAAGGTCTGCCCACAGCTTCTCATCACCTCCTTGCTCAGCAGGGTAGGAAGCATCACCCTAAAGCTAATGCTGCTCTAATCTTGAGTACAGTGCCAGCCTTTAACCCGTTCCTTCTAGTAGTTTGTTGGGTTTTTTTAATTACAGTAAAATTATCACATGACATAGCATTGCATGAAAGCTGTAGGAAATTCAGCTCATTTACTCAAGTACATATCTCCCACCAGGGCACAGATGGGGCTGAGGTTTCCCCATGTGGGGCAGCAGGGCAGGGCCTGGCAGCCTGGGTCTGTCCCACCACCTAAGCCAGGAGGAAGAGTGGGGGAACAGGGACAGGCCAAGGCCAGGCCAGGATGTCAGCCCATGGGCTGACATGACGATCAGACCCAGTGAGGAGAACCAGGGTCAGACACAGTCTTGGGATGGCCGGGCAAGGCCTCCCCACAGTGTTGTCTGGGCACCTCTCCTTTCAGACACCAGGGGAACAAGCCGCCCTTGGCTATGCTGGCTCTGTCTTGGCCCTGAGCCTGACTGCCAGATTCTCAAGATGGAGGAATACATTCTAGGCCCTTACATCTCTTCACTTTTTATCAAGGTTGGATTTACTACAGCATCCTGTAGATTTAACTATTGCTTCATGCGTGACTGAGGGCTGTGCAGTAGGCAGATCTGAATGCACCAAGTTTATCTTCATCAAAACACGCCAAATTGTGCAAAGACAAACTTCTGCCCAGGCTCATTTATTCAACGCCTTTCAAGTAACAATATTTATTTGAAATCTTCTGCCTCTGGCTGCCCCACAGGTCTGTACAACTAACTTGATACTTTATGTAGTAGGTTAAAAACCTGCTTCTTTATAATAAGAAATTTTCAGAGACCATACTAATTCAGAAGGTAATCATTCAAGCTACTTACCACAAAAGAAGCTGAGAAGATAGCTAATCTGTGTTTTATTGTGACAGGAGATTGCTCATTGTCATCAGAGAGGTATTGTGGTATCCTAAATCTTTACGCGGCTCACTGGTGAAGAAAGTGCTCCACCGGATTTTAAAGTTAAAGTGTGCATCAGATTTTAAACTTAAAACAGTATGTACTTGTACCGGAACTAAAAAGTGGGACTGATGATAATGTGTTACATTTGGTCTCTTCGTTTGGTTTAATGGTGATTTGAATGTGTATTTTTATTTTTGTTTTTAGTAGCTAAGGATGTCAACATTTTTTTTGATGAGTTAGAAGGTGTGAACAGCCCTTCCAAAGATGATGACTCCCTGCTTCACCATGGTAACTTGACCAGTACTTCTGATGATGCCAGCAGGTTGGAAGTTGTGGGAGAGGTAAGAACACATAGAATTATTAATATAATAATTATTCGTGCTCATTATAAAAAGGGAATAAATTTAATTTGATTTAAAATTTCATTCTCTGCAAGTCAACTTGTGTCTGACCTTTCCCACGGGGACTGGTTGTCCATTCCAAGATTATAATGTTGAAATATAAAATATCTCAAGTTAAAAGAAGGTTTTATTGATTTCATGCCCCTCCAGTGAAAATTCTATAAAGGCCTTTGTTTCTGCTTTTTTTCTGAGACATTCAAGTCTAATGCTTCACTGGTTCTGAAAACAATGGAAAAGTTTTCCCTATATTAATACTTTTGGGAGGAAGGAGGGAGGAGAATTTATCATAAATCTCTCATAAGAGGCATTGGGTGTCAGGTACGTGACACATTCCCTTCCAGTGAAGAACAAGTGGCCTGATGGTGCATAATGGTGATTCAGAGAGTATACCAGGGGAGAATCATTCAGCATATTGTCTCTTTTAAATTATGTCTTAAAGCAGGCAAAGCATCATGAACCCATCATGAAAATTTGAGCCCAAGTTCCTTTTTGTGTCTTTTGCATAGAAAGAAACATGATACCATTTAACTTTGCCTCCAACTACCCTACAAGACATGGATGTTAGGGCTATCTCCTAATTACTGGAGTGGTCTGATGTTAACTGCAAGCTGTGCTTGAGGATTTTTTGGCAGAGGCTGGCTGGCACAGATCAGAACTGTTAGAGACCATACTAACAATTTAAAAGCATGGAAAACCATACGATATTGCTGAAGCCCAAGCCATGACTCTGTTTTGTTCACTAGTTTAGATAAACTTTAGAAGACAGAATGACAGATTATGTCTTTTTCAGGAGCTAAATGGTTTTGTGGTGCAAGTTATTCTGTGAAATACTGCTGAGGAGAGAGTCAGAGATTTTCCCTGTGCTAGAAATTCAGTCCATAGAGAGCTGCACTCTTGGAATGTTTAGACAGATAATTAAAGCAACAAAATTCAGGGCACCCAGAGATATGTTTGACCTTGCTCACAATTTCATCTTCCCATTTACTCATCACTCTTCCCCAGCTTCCCATACAATTTACAAAGAAGGGACCTCTTTGCCTGCTAACACTGTAATAGGTTAATCTGATATGATATCCCTGTGTTATATTTTGGGATCATGTACTATACGGTCTTTACAAAAGGGCTTAGGTGAAAGGCACATGATCTTTGCAAGTTAAAGAAGAAAAATGAACAGAAAATGATCAGAAGGACAGAAGATGAGTTAGAGCAACATATGCTGCTGTTAACAATCCTGAAAAAAAAAAACGTACTGCAAAAAACAGTACTGCAAAACCTTCTTTTTCCTCCTTGATGTACTTTGTGGTTTTTTAAAGGGAAATGGAAAATATTTGAGGAATATTTTCCTAGTTGAACAGATTTTTTTTTTTTTTTTTTCATAACCATAACTGCGGAAAATTGCAATGTAGCTCATGTGTATGTATAAAAGGGAAAAAGAACAGAAAGTGGAAAGTCTTAATAGGAGCTGAGGGATGCTGTAGCCTACAAAAAACCATTTCGAAGTACTTGGCCCCTGCTTAATTCCAGAAGGAAAACATACACCATTTAGATATTATACAGTTTGTATGGATAAATAGGGGAGCACAACAGTGGTGGAGTGAACTTTGAAGCTTCAAGCTTCACAGAATCACAGAATGTTAGGGGTTGGAAGGGACCTTGAAAGATCATCTAGTTCAACCCCCCTGCCAGAAAAGGACCACCTAGAGTAGATCACACAGGAACACGCCCAGGTGGGTTTTGAATGTCTCCAGAGAAGGAGACTCCACAACCTCTCTGGGCAGCCTGTTCCAGTGCTCTGTCACGCTCACAGGGAAAAAGTTTTTCCTTATGTTAATGTGGAATGTCTTGTGCTCCAATTTGCACCCGTTGCCCTTTGTCCTATCATTGGACACCACTGAGAAGAGCCCAGCTCCATCCTCCTGACACTCGTCCTTTACGGGCAAGTTATAAACATTAATGAGGTCATCCCTCAGTCTCTTCTTCTCCAAGCTGAAGAGACCCAGCTCCCTCAGCCTTACATCAGAAGGGAGATGTTCCACCCCCTTAATCACTTTTGTGGCTCTGCGCTGGACTTTTTTAAGCAGTTCCATGTCCTTCTTGAACTGAGGGGCCCAGAACTGGACACAATACTCCAGATGCGGTCTCACCAGGGCAGAGTAGAGGGGGAGGAGAACCTCTCTCAACATACTGACCACACCCTTTCTAACACACCCCAGGATGCCATTGGCCTTCTTGGCCATGAGGGCACATTGCTGGCTCATGGTCATCCTGCTGCCCACCAGGACCCCCAGGTCCCTTTCCCCTACGCTACTCTCTAACATCTCAGTCCTCAACCTATACTGGTACATGGGGTTGTTCTTTCCCAGATGCAAGACTCTACACTTGCCCTTGTTGTATTTCATTAAATTTCTCTCTGCCCAGCTCTCCAGCCTGTCTAGGTCTCTCTGAATGGCAGCAGAGCCTTCTGGTGTGTCTTCCTTTCAGTTTAGTAGCTAAGGGAGCCCATAGATCCCCCTTAATGTCATCTGGACAGGGGATCAGGCACCAGTCAAAGTTTCTCTGAACGTATTGATGTTTGTTTGGTGTAGTTTTGAGGCTAACATTGCAGCAAAATAGTTTAATATGGTTTCTGGCTGAATTCATTAAAATGAATTTACAATGAAAAAAATTTATAAGGACATGCCAAAGGATCTTATCATTTTTATTTAGCTGATAAGTTGAAATATTGTTTGCTTCAGCTGTTAGTTGTTCGTGATCAACCAGAAGATTCAATGAAGACTTTATAGATCAAGCTTTATCAACGACTCTTTCACAGATGCAAAGCCAGATTGGAATTCCATTTGTCCTTTGGCTAAAGATATTTTATTTCTTTGTTTTATTTTTCCTTCAAACACAGATACAGTCTGAGCAAATTGAAAATCACATTTCACTTTGTGTGCATTGATCAAAATACTTTTCATGTATGCCAGTATTACAATTAGGTATACAATTCACAATTTAAATCCGGGGACATATTATCACTAAAATATTGTATTACTCTTTCTGAAGCTTCATTTTCTGAGAACTGGAGTAGCAGCAGAAAGAAAATAAAAATTAAAGGAAAAATTATTTAGGAGCTCTATTCTAGGTATACATGCATTCTGTCTTTCTTTCTATGGAGTAACAAATCGGTCTTTATCCAAACAAGGGAGAATGATGGACCTGGGACAAAATTTGACTTCTGCTTAAATGAGCTTATATGGCCCATTCTTGATATTCCATAGGTAGTTTTGAAACTAAAATCATAAGAGTCACTCCTAGAGTATTCGCCTTAAGCACCAAACTCTGTTGATATTTGAGGGCAGCATCATTAGCTTTGTGCAGAATAGAGTTTGTTTTAACAATCACTTTTATAAATTGGAACTTGCACTGAAGCTTATGGCAGAAAAAAAGGTATTCATGTTGCAAAATAAGAATTCTGATGTTCTTTATGTCAATTATGATAGTTTGTGCAATTTCAGCTCAGTTTTCTTGTGTCTATTTACCAGAATACATAATTTTTTTCCACCAGATCTCTGTCTTCTTCAGTGATCAGGATGGATATGGAAAGAGATTATCTAAGCTTTCAGAGAAAACTACAGATATTCTACTTCCTAACTTTTGAGGACTTGATTTTGCAGCCTAGATAATTTCATTTTTAGAAAAGTTCCGTGTAATTAATTATATTATGGTGTCAAGAAGGCTATACAAACCAGTGAAGATACATGGAAAAATAAAATTGCATCTTCCACAAAATTGTAACCTAAATGGGTCAAATGATATAAATTAAAAAAGAGCACACAGAGAAAATACACTTGTTCTTTGATTAGAACTGTGCCTTAAAATTGGGTAGTTGTGGGTCCCTCTTTTTCTCCATAAGTTCGTAAGTTATCACTGTTAGTGGTGCAGATATTAGCCCCCTCCACCAGCTGTTAAGTCGCATGCAGGGGACTCTAGTTTCAGGTAGCCACAAACAACAGGAAAAGACAATCTCTTTAGAATTGAAAGATCCTATCTTCATTGAGCATCCATACTGATAATAATCAGGTATCAAAATAACTAGGAATGAAGAAAGAATCTAATCTGTCATTAAATCGCTGACCGTTGAGGTCCCTCCTGATTTATTTTTTTAAAGACCTGCAGGTAAAGTTTCAAATTTCCTTGATTTCCCCAACTGCACTTTTGTTTAGAAGTTCCATTTAAAGTCTCTATAGCTGTTAGGGTTACAAATCCTCTCGTTTTGGATAGTGAAATGTTTCGGTAAGCCCTTTAGCCTAAGGCTCTCCTAGCATATGTGTGTATGAGTCATATGTCTACGAATGCTGATGGCTCCCAGTCGTGGCTCTGAGAATATGAAAACTACTGCACTCCTTGGAAAAGAATTCCTGATTATACAACTTCAGATATGTGTGTTACAAATAATTCTGCAAAGATAGCCAGAAATGCTAAACTTCTGGCTAGGGTGAAGCCTTCTCTGTTCTTCCACTTTCTTCTGGCACCCTTTTTCAGATGAAGGAATGGAGATTTGACATCCATGACTAGACCACTTTCCCATCAAAAACTGCAGTCAGACCTGCTTATAGGTATATAGACTTTAATCTGTTTAGGAAAAATGAATTTTGAAGTCATAACACATGGAAAGGAGATGTAATGTCTGGAGAAGGGCCAGTGAAGCTCAAGGTAGGATAAGAGTCTCTGTCTAGAATAGTGTAAGCCTGGAATATTGTGCACAATGCAAAAGCCCTGCAGCTGCTATTTCCTGACACTGCTGGGCCAGCCCTGACTGTCTCCATATCATGTTAGATCCTCAGAGTTCTTGTAAGTCCAGGCTCAATCTATAAATCTGCCTTACAAGCTATAACAGAGGGCAACAAAAAGGGTTCCTTCTCAGAGGCCATACCTGTCTAGTAGGGTTTATCAAACTGAATTTGACACACTGTGTTCCTAAAATGAAAAGGATCTCCAACAGATAAGTGTGTTCAACCTGTCTTTCTGAGCAAAAAATGACAATACTGTAGTTGAGAGTGTTTCACAAGTCCAGGAAAGAAAAGCAGTTATCTCAGGATGTCATGTTTATAGGGGAAGAAGTTCTACAAGTAAAATAACTCATCTAAATCTCATAGATGCTCTGTAATATAAGGTTCTATGTGCACTGATGAGTCGGTGTAGGGCAAACCAATTTTCTTCAGAGAAAGATAAAACATAGGAAGCATAAAGAGCAAATCTATTTTTCCAGTGGAGTCACTACTGTACGCAGAGAAAAAGGCATTCCTTGTGGTACTCTCTGGATGGGTTTGTGCTAACGGTTTAGTTCAGGTGAGGAGTGTACATTCAAAGTGAATCTCTCAATTGCCCTTTCCCATGATGTGTTTGCATTCCAGAGCAGTGTTGCATTTTAAACCTGGATCCCGTCTGGGTGCAAATAGATTGTGAGATGTATGCCAGGGAGTCTCCTGGACCAGACTAGAGCAGGCCCAAAGTAAGCCCTCAAGCCTACATAATGTGGACAGCAGATCCTCAGCACAGATTGTTTTGCTCTGAAGTTCCTTTCCTATTACACTACTTTACTTGCTAAAATACCTGTAGTGACTCTGGGACATACAGAACAGGAAGGATGGCTCATCGGGGGGGCTTAGAAATCAGAGTAGGACCACCAAGCTGACACACTGCTTTTAAATCTCTTACTGCACCTTTCCTTTATTTAAATAACCTTCAATACCCTTTTGGGGTTTTTTAAGTCTTCTCAACATAAATGTTTATGGAAAAAAAATAAACTGTGTGTCCTGAGCTCTTTTTATATTTAATGCTCCGTGAAAAATACTTCTGATATCTTGATAATATAATTTGTCAGCATGATATGTTGTATAGATATAAATGGTTTGTTACTGTTATTTCCTTAGGGCTTAAATCTTTTTTCTTGCCACCTTTTTCAGCATAAAGAACCATTCCACTATATCAAGTCTGCATTAAGCTGCGTCAGGATCCAGGCACTGTAATAAAAGAATCTTAGAAAAATTTCCCTTTCTGACTTCATTAAACCAGATGTAGCAAGGGGATGGGATATTTAGGATGCTTTCATTTGTTTTTTCATTTAATCAAAACACATACTGAGAATCAGGAAGATAGCTTATGCTAAAATCTTTAAATGGGAATATTGGTGGGGTTTTTTTCTGTAAGAATCATTTGTCCTATTACTATGTTCATTTTTTGCAATTGAAATTCAGAAGCAGTTCTCCTATGGAGAAAGTATTTTTAAATTCCCTACTTTTCCCGGATGTGAAAGGCAAAATATTTTTTTTTTCTGGAGATTTCATCATGTATTATAGTGCATGGCTATTTCAGGCAGGAATGGTTGAGCAAATTCCAGATAAAGAGAGGAATTAGCCTAACCCTCCCTTCAGCTTGGAGCTGGACTGATCTTGAGGTCCCTGAAAGTCCCTGTCCATTATACTGCACTGAGGGAGTGTTGTTTGTTCTCATGTATCATTCACAGTGTACGGTTTTTGTACAGAATATTCTAACCTGCAAACTGCCACACAACTTCAACCTGTCTGAAAGTGAAAGCTTAACTCTGGGTAGAACTTGTATTATGTGGAAGTAGTATTAAATTGCGAGAAGGATCTGTAGAGAGTTTCATTTAATGAATTTCTGAAAAAAGACCAGAAGTTTGGTCTTCTAGATCTCAGGGGAGGGAACTGCTTGACCTCTTATCAACAATGAAATCAAGTTGTTTCTTTCTGTCAGAGCAAACATGCATGTTCTTTGCAGGAAACAGCCAAGAAACAGTAGTTATTGTGTTTACACACAGGATGTTACAGAACCACAGAATCACAAAATTTTAGGGGTTGGAAAGGACCTCGAAAGATCATCTAGTCCAACCCCTCTGCCAGAGCAGGACCACCTAGAGTAGATTACACAGGAACACATCCAGGCGGGTTTTGAATGTCTCCAGAGGGCTCTCCACAGCCTAATACTGCTAGACCAAACATAAAGAATTATTTTCAAATAAATCCAGTGGGTTTCCTCTGCTGTTCTTAAACAAAGAGTATTCTGTAGTTAGTCTGGTGAAGTGTGGTAGGTACAAGTACAGGACCATCACTTTGTTGTCTGTGTCCTGTGAGGCAGAGGTACTGGAATCATTCCAAAGCAACGAGAATCTCTGCACCAGGTTTTAGTGTTTCTCACTACTGTAAATGCTCATGTCATTGTTTATCCTTCTCACTTGTACAAAGACATTCGACCATACTAAGATCTTAATTCTAAATTCAAGCTTCAGTAACACTATTCTCTGCTTTACTTTATGTGTAAGAAGTTATTCCTACTTCTATGGAGGGTAGTGGGGGAGGAAGATAGGCTTGTGTTCTGTATTCTCTCCTATCCCAATCCTACATGACCAAATATCTGCCTAAGACAACCTCCTGGCTTTGAAGTGGGGAAGTCTGTACTCTTTTCAGATGACCTCAGAGGCACTGTATGTAAAGCACCTGAAAATTTGAACAGCTTGTTCTGATTTCTCACCTTTCCTTTTGAGTATTACCGAAAACTGATGATGCAAACAGCAATGCAGCAATTACCAGGGCAAACTAACATTACTGAAATATTTGACTTTCTCTTTACAGGAAGTACCTGATAAGAACAAAACCAATGGACTATATTTTAGAGATGGGAAATGTCGGATTGACTACATCCTGGTGTACAGAAAATCCAATCCACAGACAGAAAAGAGGGAAGTATTTGAGAGAAATATCAGAGCAGAAGGACTTCAAATGGAAAAAGAGGTAAGAAAACTTCCTTGAAAAAAACTTTCAACATTTAAAGCTGCGTAGAATCTGAGGGTTGAGTTTTGTTTACTCTGAAACCCCTTTACTCTGTTGTAGCAGTGCAAAAATGCTTTTAAGCATGCCTAAATATAGGCTACTTATTGCCGGAGCAGTGGGAAAGTGTAGCCTAAAGGAAAATCAGACGCATGGATTGAAGGCCAAAACAGACCATTACAGTCATCTTTTTCAACCCTATGCACAAGTAGGCCACAGAATTTCATCCACTGTGCTGTGCAATAGGGAAAACAAGTGCTGGGTCTGGATGGCCTAAATTCTACTGAGTGCAGACCACATTTCTGCACCTACTTTTCGTTTCTGTTACCTGCTTCGCTCTCTACTGAGGCTCTTGGTATACTTTTCAGAGACCTAACTAGACCCCTGCATTCCCTCTCCTGTCAGCTTAGAAACAGGGACCTGAGCAGTATTTTGGTAGTTTGAAAACAGCCTAAAGTCTCTCTTTCTGTTTTAATCCTAAACATTGAAATAGTTGGACAGTACATGTGAATCATTTATATAAATGTTATTTCCAACACTATGTCCTAAAACAGTAAATCTTTTCTGGACAAGAGTGTAAAAATGAATGTAAAGTGTCTAATAATGTTTTGATGTGATAGGTAGCAGGAGCAAGGCTTAAGAGACCATCTTTCTTGCCTAGGCTACGTTTTTTCTTAAACTTTCATAAATGTGCTTAAACAGGCCTTAAGTCTCACTTCTATGCAGGATAGATTTTGAATATTTAACTTTACTTGTGCTTGATTGACTCACACGTGCTAATATGCATCGTCATGCTGCCACTGATGGAAACAGTAGAGGAATTTTCAGGTTACAGGCTTTGGTCAATTATGTAGGTGCTGTGCATTATCTCCCTTTCTTTCACTGAATTCCTGGTACACATATTCTACCCGTGTACTTGAAAGGCATGCTGCTTTGGAGAACACTAGGGAGGAAAAATGTGAGCTATTTCTCTCCAGAATAATGAAAAGGTTTCCTTTCTTTAAATGTTTTTGAATGAACATGGGTACTGGCAGATATAAGTGTATAAAAGCATATCACTGGTTAAATCAATTGGTTACTATAGACTATTCCTTCAGCTAACCTGGAAGTTAGAATCTTTAGTGCTGCGGTAGTTGATAGATGTTTTCAACGGCAGACATCGTCATTTACTACATGTTTCCTGTAAACATACCACTGTCTGTAAGAGTTGTAACCCAACATCCAAGAACACAAGAGTCTTGCTGCAGCTGTTCAGCTTCACATCCTAGAATTCTGCCCTGCTTCCATCAGGAGAGATGCTGAAGTAGTCTCTGAAGTTTGGGTAGTGTACAGAATGAACGTGGAATGAATCCTCCCTATTGATACATCTGCCCAGTGGTTTTGAACCAATCTTTTCTCACTTAGTGATTTTTGCAGATTTATTACTGTTCTAAGGTCAGCAAAGCTATGAAAATCTTATACTTTAAGTATTATAAAACTTATTGCAACGTTCTGCATAGAAAACTTTTTCAAACTGATGATTGAAGTGCTTACTATAGAGGGTTTTTGTATCTTTAAAGCCCATTTATTTGGACTTTGCTGCTGCATGAATGTTCTGCCCGTTTGATTATTCATTTCATTTTCGATTATGCTACTGACATGCAGTTTTATTTCTTACTAATCTCATTTGGCCTTGGTGTGACTTCTTGCCAGCATCAGTAATTGTACATTTTTTAAACTCAGAATGATCAAAATGAGTTGCATTACATGACTTAGGCTAATGTTTTTAAAATCTAGGGTAGCAATCTTTTTTTAACATATGACTCTGACCTAAAATTAAACCCTAGCATGTATATTTTACGATCAAGTTAGTTTCCAAATTGAATTATAATCCTGAAGGAAATGAATATGTTCTTGGTACTCTCCCTACTTCTCTCCATAGAGTAACAACTGTGCTGCATAACACAGATTTAAACTAACCGGTTAATGCCTAGATTATTTGTCATTTTTTTTACTCTTCCTCTCAGTGGTATCACGCATCATTCTGAGTTTCAATTCTGGAAAACAGCAGCTCTGTTTTCTAATTGTTCATATATAATATATTGTGTTTAGTTTTGGGCCCCTCGCTACAAGAAAGACATGGAGTTACTGGAGTGTGTCCAGAGAAGGGCAACGAATCTGGTGAAGGGTCTGGAGACCAGGTCTTATGAGGAGCGGCTGAGGGAAGTGGGGATGTTGAGTCTGGAGAAAAGGAGGCTGAGGGGAGACCTTATCGCTCTCTACAGCTACCTGAAAGGAGGTTGGTAGTGGGTGCAGGTCTCTTCTCCCAGGTAACAAGTGATAGGACAAGAGTGAATGGTCTCAAGCTGTGCCAGGGAGGTTTAGATTGGACATTGGGAAAAATTTCTTTATTGAAGGAGTGGTCAAACATTGGAACAGGCTGCTCAGGGAGTCACCATCCTGGAGGTATTCAAAAAAGGTGTACATGTGTCAGTTGGGGACATGGTTTAGTGGGCATGGTGGTGTTGGGTTGATGGTTGGACTTGATGAACTTAGAGGTCTTTTCCAATCTTAATGATTCTATGATTCTGTGATTGCTTCCACTGGGAAAGGTTTGTTCCCAAATAAAATGAGAGAATCATCTGTGGCTTTGGACACAGAACTTATACAGAGACAACAGGCTGTAACCACTGGACTCAAAGAAACTTTTTACATTCCATGAATTTTTTGTGCTCATAGGTTCATTCTCCTTTGGCTACTGCCTGTTCACATATTAACATTTGATCATGTTTAATGGCTTTTTATTGTGAAATTGGTGGCAGAGAGGAAAACAGAGCCATTCACACTGATGTTTCAAAACCATATTCCTTAGTAACACTGCAGAGAGAGAAAAACACACTGCAGTGACTTGCTGACAAGTGTAGCACAACAAAATACCCAGGAAGTAGTGAGTGCAGGGAGCGAAGTGTTCACTTAACATGAAATGAGAAAGTGAATCTGAAATGAATTCATGAATGTAGAGATAACTTCAGGCACAATGTCAAGATCATGTAGCTGAGAAAGGTCTGAACAGGTGTATGTTTCTGACTCGAGAAAAAGGTGGTAACTTTTTGCAGATATTCCCCAATGAATTCACACTCTCATTCTTCAGTTATTTCACCTCACTCTCGCATGGAAGTTCTGCCAGGTTTGGTGCACTGTATATCCTGTAGTAAACAACCAGGGGATCCTAGACCTAGGAACAGATCATTGGATTATTGAAGGTATGGAAAACAGAGCTCTAAGAGTGAATGTTAATCAAGTGGAACAGCATAAATCATTTTCTGACCCTTGTCCCTGCTTTTCAGTATATATTGGGTCTGGTCAGGATGACTGTGTTGTCCCAGTCCAACATGTATCACATGCAACCTATGTGATCATATGCGTAGAAGCTCTAGGTAAGTTAATTGAATACATAGGTCACTTCAGGAAAACAGGATGTATTTTCTTTTCAGCCAGTTATAAATATTCCTATATTGATTTATCCTTTTTTACAACATCTCACAAGTGAGATAAATAAGTATGATGTCCTGGCTCTGGGATTCTTGATGACCCTACCGTTTTCATTTTTTAATACACATTGAAACAGAATTATGTATTGGGTAAAATGGAGAGGGTAGTCTACGAATGGAGCAAGTTCTTATCAGAGATGAGGTACCAATAGCATTGCTGGTTTGTAGGCACTTACATCTTCTGTAAATATTACATGAGACTCATACCTTCCAGAGTTGACTGGCAAATGGTTAACAGAGACAGGGTACTACTCTCTGCATTCTGAGGGTATATTTCATATTTATCCAAATGCAAGATAAACCTGAGACCAAGATTAGCACACTGGCACTCAGGAAAAAACCCAAATCAAACAAACTTATGATCACTTTTATGTAAAGAGAAAATACAGCTATTGTCAGTCATTCCAATTACAGTGTTCATCCCTCTGGGACGGTAAAAATCCAGCTTTTTTTTCTGGAAAATCTATCTTTTCAAGAACGAATAATGAGTCAGAATTACATTGGGCCCATAGTATTTTTCACAAGAATAGAGATTCATAAATTCAACACCTTGGCCATAATCCAGGTAGGTTGCCTTATCCCAAATTATTCCTGCAGCTTCGATAAACATATTTTAATCCCTGTCCTAAATGGCCAGGTAGAACTCAGTTGCTGTAAACTACTCTGTGCTGGTACAGGTATACAGAATGACAGACATCTTGCAGTAAGGTACTTTAAATTATACTACACTAACAGAGCATGCACAGAGGTAACTTGCATGGAGCAGCTAACATGCATAATTTGTTCTCTTGCAGCGTATTTAAACTGGACTGTAATACAATGTGAATGCAGGATAGAGGTAAGGTAGTCCAAAGAAATCTATGCTCAATGAACAAACACAGACCACCCTTGGATCTGTAATTTGTAGAAGAGAAGAAGGTGGTCATCTTAGATTTAAGTAAATACTGTGTATCCAAACCGAATCTGATATTGGATAGGATCTGGTCACGTAGCCCTAGGAATAGATCACATTTCGTTTGAATTTGGCATGGATTTTGTTTAGTTGGTTTTTTTTTTCTCATGACTGTGCTAAACTAATTCATTCAGCTTAGTTCTACTGCTAAATGTACTTGATAGACTTTGCTTAATGATTGCGTCCAATGTTTTTAATTTATGATTTGTAAGTTGATTTGATACAGTTTATTTGAAAAGGCATTTGACATGCCAGTAGATGCTAATAGATAGAACTGTACTAAAGGGGAACTAATCACATAAGTAGTGACAGTAATATTCAGGCCTTTTATTTTATATGTTTTGAATATTAATGTATACTAATGTTTCAGTATAAAACAATGAACTTCTTTAAAGCAATAGTATTCCTTACTGACTGAAAAAGCAGGTCTCCTCACAGCTACTGACTGCAGAATATGTTACAGGAACTAGTTTCAGATATTG